TGTCGAATGGGACCCATGGGCGTATAAACCAATTAATAAATGTAATTAGAAATTATCGAAATAATATCCATCCAAGTGAAGTGTCAACTTCTAGAAGCTAAAAAGGGATCCATTAGTTTCCTAGATTGAGCAAAAATATCAGTCTTCATTTTCGTGCTCTGAGGTGCATATTTAAGACGCCTGTCGCCTATTACAATTTCAGAATTTTAAAGTTCATATCAGGAAAGTTGTGTTTCGATTGGGATGTGGACTAGTTTGCAAAAACTCAAAATTGACGTTTGGTTACGTTTTTTTTTGCACGCCTCATTCATAGCCTAATACAGGCAACATTTCCTGTTGAATTTTCTCCATTTATCCAGCCAAGCTGAGTGTTCAAGTATATGCAGGTGGGATGGCAGTCCCCATCCACCTCAGCCACTAACAGCCGGTGTGCACTATCCTGCTCAAACAGCGTAACAACGTTGTTGTTTCAACTTCTTTATTCAGCAAAGCGTTAGGTGGTTATTGGTATAATCCTTGATTTATTAAATAAAGATATACATGGCCCGATACATTAATTTGATTGAAAAAAATGACAATGCTTACAATTGGAGCATCAAATGTCGGTTTATCTTGTCGTTTTTATTGAACTTTCCAGGCATTTCGACTAAATAGTCCGTAATCCATTGTTTTAGCAAATCGTAAAGAACAACGCATTATAGAGTTAACTGGGTTACTCTTGATATTAGAGTTGAATAGCCTCCTTATTCGAGGAATTAAGATTTTATTGCAGTAGCTTTCATTGAATGGCTACAGTAAAAATGGCAAACTAACGGTGACACGAACGCTTTATCTGATTTAATGTTGTTGCATCGCGGTTGACAATCTCAAATGATACGCATTAGCGGTCCGTCGGTGGGGAATGCTGTTTATCCGCCGCGGTAACGTCGCACCGAAAGCTCATATTGTGCAAAAGCCAAGATGGCAAACGGAATGCATTAAGTTTGTTGAACATTTCATAGACGAACATACGTGCTTCTACATCGAAGAGCTGCAGGTGGTTCTACAATCGACTTTTCCGTCGCTGCAAAATGTGTCTACTTCATATATATATGACGAGCGTTGCGATTTGAACTCGGCCAAACTCGCAAGGGCCTCACTAAACGGGCTAGAGAAGTGTCCCCGCCGAGATCGTCAATTACTACAAGAAACTAGTACCAACTCACCGCGGCCCCGACCAACTGGTTTTCTAGGATGAGATGGCGAAGGACGGCCGTGACGTTTTTCGGCGTTTTGACTGGTCGGATAGAAACACTATGGCTATTGTACGGTAACTATCCGATTGAAGTATATTTTTGTTGTTTGAGGTTTTCAAATATGACTTAACAACTATTTTGTGTAGGAGATCGAGTTTCAATCAATAGCTCGGGTCGTATTGCCTGGGATAAAACCCCAGGAACTTTCGGTAGGAATCGTTTCGCGAAGCATCCCTTAACATGGTTGCCCCTCATTTAAATCCCTGGCCTCAACTTGGGGGGGGGGGGGGG